TATTTTTATCATATAGGATATATCTCATTGTTCATATTGCTTATCCTAGCTCATATATCTTGTTGTATTTCATACTTGCTAGGATAACTTGTTAATTAATTTTAATTGACATAAAATCGGATTAGATTAGCATAAGACCCTAATCACCCCTCCTTCTAGGGTCTAACAGAGAATGTGACACCTCACTACCAAGCACCATTTTTTGTGTTTGGTACCAAGCATACCCATTTTTCTCATATATATATATATATATATATATATATATAAGATTAATGGGTATCCTTGTCATAGGAGAGGATTTCCTCCTTGACGCCTCTAAAATCACATGATTTATTTAAGCGACATTATGGATGATCCGCCCCGCTTAAACTTGATCTACATATTCATTAAACCCTAACACACCAAGTTTTGCGGTAATCCGTCGGTCGTTTGACCCTCCATTCGAGCCATCGTGAAAAGTTGTCTATTCATTCAAAACCATAAAATTGCATACGAGTGGTAATGAATGGTCAAGACAAACGCCAGGCGTTCACCCCAAAACTTTGGTGTGTTGCGCGGTTTTAGATATGTTAGATCAAGTTCAACTGGAGCCCGATTCATCCACAATGATCGCTCAATTCATGCTGATTTTAGAGGCATCATTAGGAGGAAATCCCCTCCTATGACAAGGCATACCCATTCAATCTATATATATATATATATTATATATTATATATATATATATATATATATATATACATATATATATTATATATATATATATAATTATATATATATATATATTATATATTATATATATATAATTACTATATATATATATATATATACTATATATATGAGCGATATGGCCGTATACTTTGCTTTCGGCCCAAGCATTCCTTGGTAGGAACTGTGTTCTTTCGCACACATCTGTCCATACATCACACCTGGAGGTGCCGTGAAAGGTCCATCTTCTAGGTGCTGATGTATGGACGAAGATGTGTCCACATCACTACCAAGCGATCCTTCGGTACCAATTATACCCATTTTTCTCTCTCTCTCTCTCTCTCTATATATATATATTATATATATATATAAAAATATAGCAGAAAGAGAGCAGAGAGAGAGACGAGGCATGAGAGAGAGTGGACTGGAGAAGAGAGAGAGAGAGAAGAGAAGATGACGAGTATGCTTTGGTTACCAAGCTACAAATTTGGTTGCCTTGGTAGCGAGGTGACCACATTCTCCTCCCACTCATTTCAAATGGGGGACCACATTCATAATAATGTTCAGGGGGAGTGCATGCAGATATGCAATAATCTGATCATGGAGTAGAAGGGGATATGACACCTTACTCACCAAGCCCACTTTTTAGTGTTTTGGTACTTAAAGCATACCAATTTTTCTTTATAATATATTATATATGTATATATATATATATAATATATATATATATATATATATAATATATATATATTAGTATATGATATATATATAATATATATATATATATATATATATGTTACTATGTCGATCATTTCATTATTTTGCAACCAATGAAAAAATTTAAAAATACACACACATATGTAATTCAACTGAAAGTCTTGCCCAACAAGATATCAAAAGGCTACAGACACATTCACCAATATTTACATGTCATAGCCTTCAAGAGCCTTCAAGAGCCTTCAAGAGTCTTGGATGCCATGAAAATGACAGATTACAATATCCAAAATGCCATACATATCCGACCATTTTTTAACACATATCCAACAACTTTTTTACATTGCTGTCACAACTTGATGTTTTAATTTTGAAATAACAGAGGTTATAAGTTTATCGTGTAAACCTTTGCTTGAAGTCAACTCGTTTCACGGTGCAAATTTAGTTCCTCTAATTTAATTTACGAATGAATGTGATAAAAGATAATTTGTCAGTTTTAATTAATTGATTTAAATTAGAAGACTAATTTGATTTTAAGGAACTTATTTACAGTATCAACTTTTCAAAAACTCGTTTCAAAATATATGAGCTGGGGGCCAAATATCTTTAAAAAATTGAAAATACTTTTAAAAAAGATGTAATTACACGAGCATCTATGAAGTTTGTGTATTTATATGAGTAACCTCGTGATTACTAATTGTATTTACACATGTTATCTCGATATGAAAAATTAGCCTCCATAATAGACCGTATAATTACAACCAACAATTAAAGAACTATTTGTGCAAATTTACAGATTCCAAGGTTAGTTACATCATACTTTAGCCACCTTATTTTAACTGTGGAAAAATTATTAAATTTACAAATCAAAATTTTTAATAGAACTGCGTTTCCGATATGATATTTTTCTTCTTTCACCATGATATTATGGTATCAATATAAAAACTAATACTGATCTAGTCATCTTTCTATATAAAAAAATGCTAATTTGTTTATTTTTTATATTAAAGTAATACCAAATTAAAGTTAAATGTCGATGGTAGTATCATAATTTCACAAGTAAAAGAAAAAGCTTCATACTAGAAACATGGTCCTTTTACAATACAAGTATGATAACTTGGCTGACTAAATGGTACTTAAACATCCAATTATTTTATCATATTTATGCTTAAATATCCTAAATTATTCATCATTAGAATATTGTAAATATTTTTAAAAAAACTATTATGACAAAAATACAACTTCATATGGCAAATTAAAAAAAAAAGGATATGTATAGTGATAAATATGATAATAAAGGAGAACAATACAATTATAAAAATGTCAATGTGCTAATCACATGAGAACATTCCCATGTACATGTGCCATTTTTTATAACTTAGGTTACAAAAGTGATTTTTTAAATTATAATTTTAAATATATCGTTACTTTTTACAGCTAAGAATATTTAAATATAAGACTATCTCCAACAGGAGATATTTGGGGGGTTTTTTTGCTCCAACAGGTGGCTTTTAATGTGGTGAAATGGAAAACCGGAGCCCAAGGGGTGAATATTTCACCCCTGGTTTTTCTGAGCGCGTGGGTCCCGTGAATAGTGATCATCCCATGCAATGTGCCATGTGTCAAGGCTTGATTGGTTGGCGATTTTTGTTTTACTCCTAATTTTTAAATGATATTTTGGGAGATAAATACTAGGAATTAATTTATAATTTTTATAGCAATAATTTTTATTTTTTGAGCTCTATAAATAGAGATTAGTCTTGTGTAATTTGGACACCAAAAAAATCTGAGTTTTCAACACCTTATTCTCCTTCTCTTTGCTTTTGCTTCTATATTCTTCAAACTTTTTCAAATGGATCCTTCACAAAATTATCCTAATTTCTCCTACAACTTGTGTGTTTGACTTTAATGTTTTCAATAATTTGTGTGTGTTTGACTTTTTCGTATGCTTAATAAAATCATGTGTTTTTTTGTTAATATAAAAATATTATCAAAAATTAAATTAATAATATATATTATTTATGTAAATATTAAAAATTTATAATTATAAATAAATGAGTTATATTAGTAATAATAATAGTAGTAGTAGTAATATATATGAAATAAGAAAAAGAAATGAATAAATAAGGTGGGGTATATATGTTGGAATGATGGGGTTATAGTGGGTCCCAAATAAAGTAAAAATCTTTTGAAAAAACTCCTGCTGTAGAGATAATAGAAAATGGAGATTGTTGAATTATATGGAGGGGGAATAAAGTGATGTGGCAGGAGAGAGAATGTTAAAATTTCGACTTCTGCTGGAGATAGTCTAAGGGGCTGTTCGTTTCGCAAAATTTTTTGGGAAATCAAAGAATAGGAAATCAAAGAATAGGATTTCTTGAATTATGGTTGTTTGGTTGGTTAAAAAAAGAAGGAAATCAAAGAATAGGAGATGAGATGAGATGAGTTGTCATCATATTATTGGATGATGTGAGTGATTTTTTAAGAAAACTTGTTTTGATGTTGTTTGGTTGGTTAAAAAAATAAGAAAATGTATTATAAGAAACCTATTTCCTATAATAATTTTTTTCTTGTGTTTGGTTCATTCTTAAAAATAAGAAAATAGATGAGATGAGATGAGTTGTTTGTATATTATTGGATGATGTGACCCACACTTAAGGAAATCAATTTTTTTTTTTTTTTTTTGAGGAAATGGGTGGAAATGAAATGTTAATGAGATGAGATGAGTTGTCACCATATTATTGGATGATGTGAGTGATTTTTAAATATGAGATGAGATGAGTTGGATGATGTGACCCGTTTCTTGTGTTTGGTATATTTTTAAAAGTAAGAAAGGAGATAAGATGTGATGAGTTGGTGGATAAAAATAATATTTTATTGATAAAAGTGTATAGATTTCTTTTTCTTGGATTGAGTTTTATGGATGGAAGTGGATAAAAATAATATTTTAATAAAAAAATACATAGATTTCCTTTTCTTGGTTTTTAGGAAATCTCCCAACGCCAAACAAACGGGCCCTAAGTGAAAAAATTGTGAAATAATAGAATATTTAAGTGTCATTTAGCCAATTTAGCTTAAAGAAAATTAAAGGGGTGCCCCTGTAAATAACTCTACTGGCAAAAGGGTAATTAACGTCACACCCCCACCTCGCTCCTACGCAATCCTACGGCTGAAGTTGGTAGGTGAGTAGAGGCACATATTCGCTCGAAATCAAGCTACACCGTCCGAACGCCAAACGCCATTTACTCTCAACCAAACCCCGCCACCAAAGCAGGTAATTCCGTAGTTAGCCGGAAAAATCAAGGGCAATTTAGGTGGGGAATCCACTATACGAAGTGGAGACGGCGCGGTGCCTGTCCTTTCCCGATAAGCTCGGCGATTGCTCGAATGGGAACGCCTAGGGCATCGAAGCCCGAGCTCCCGTTAAATTAAAAAAATAAAATAATTTTTTTTTTATAAAACCCTAATTTTTCTGCCTCCTCTATACTCTCTCTCTCCTCGCAAAACCCTAAGCCCTCTCATCCTCTTCCCTTCAATCCTTTCTCTCTCCCCTCTCCGCCGGCGAGATCGAGGTCCGTTAAAACGACGCTCGATTTCAGCATTAGCGTGTGGAATGCGGCTAGATCTTCGAATTCTTTCGATTTGAGCTCAGATCCGAAGTCTCAATCCCTAGATCTGCGGTGAGCTTTTCTTCGTAAATTCTAATTTTGTGTGTAGGGTTTCTTTTGTGGTTTTTTGCAAATAGTGTGAAATTGAGGGGGTTTTGTGATTAATTGAGGTCTGCTGCAGTTTGTTGGCAGTGTTTGCAGTGGACGCAGCGCTGTAGAGAGGTGAGAGGAGGAGGCTCCCTCTGGAAAAAGAAAATTACAAAAACAAAAAAGGAGAGGTTTTTAAAGCAAAAGAGTCTTGATAATAGCTGACACTTTAAGCATTCAAAGGTGTCTTTTTTCTTCTCTCTTCCTTATCTTTTTTGATCAGCTCGTCATCAATGCAACAGTACAGACCTCTGCGTCCACCGCCATCCTCAGTTCTGAGACCCTGAAGGCTGAATCTCTCTCTCTCTCTCTCTCTCTCTCCTCCTTTCTCTCTGCAGAGAGAGAACAAAATTCAAAACCTTGGGCTTGGCTCATTGAGGCATGAAAGCGGGATGGAGATTGAAGAAAACCACCGCAACCACAAGCGTTCCCGCGTCGGCAACGGCAACCAGGCCGCCGCCAAGCTAGACGAGGACGAGGACGACGGAGACCAGAACAAAGAGCTAAGCATTAGCAATAACAACAGCAGCAGCAGCAACCGGATGAGGCCTTGGCACCATCCTTCATCGAGAATTTTTCGAGTCTCGAGAGCCTCCGGCGGCAAAGATCGACACAGCAAAGTCTATACAGCGAAAGGGCTTAGAGACCGTCGGGTTCGGCTCTCAGTTTCGACGGCCATTCAGTTTTACGATCTGCAAGATCGACTTGGTTACGATCAGCCCAGTAAAGCTATTGAATGGCTAATTAAGGCTGCGGAGTCTGCCATTGCCGAGCTCCCCTCGCTTGATACCACTTTCCCTGATCCGCCATTGGAGCTTCAGCAGCAGCAGAAGCAGCTTGCCATTGAGAAGGTGATGCCGAGCGATTCTGGGATTGATCCTGAAGCTGATCCCAGCTACAATCATCAGCAGCACAGCAGCGCGTCGGAGACCAGTAAAGGTTCGGTCTTGTCGCTGTCTAGGTCGGAGAGTAGGGTAAAAGCGAGAGAAAGGGCGAGGGAGAGGGTTAAGGAGAAAGATCGAGACGAAGCCCAAGTTGTTTCGCACCATCAGACTCTTGATCCGAGCTTGAACTCTCAGGGATCTTTCACCAAGCTTCTCACTGGAGGAAGTAGCAGCAGCACTGCTGTAACTGCGAGCTCCACTGCTGATTTCATCCACAACCAATTGCACAATCTCCCTCCAGTGACATCGACCACCGATTACTTCGGCATTCAGTCGAGTCTCTTGGGCCAGCAGCAGCAGCGGCAGCAGAAATCGACCCATCTGATTTCTTCAGCTGGGTTTTCCTCCCAAGCCCACTTTGGAAACAGCTCTCCCATCGGAATGGTACCGCTGTTTACCAATGCCGGCGACCATCCAACGACAGAGACGCAGCAGTTCGCTTTCGACCACTTTTTTCCGGTGGCCACGGCCACGGCCTCCACAGGAGGAGGAGGAGGAGATTACAGCCTCAACTTCTCCATCTCTCCGAGTCTTGCCGGTTTCCATAGGGGGACCCTTCAGTCCAATTCAACACCTCATCACCACCATCACCACCACCAACTCCAGTTATCTCACCACCACCAAGTTCAGGCACAAAGGTTTTCTTCAGCATTAGATGGATCAAGCGTGCCCTTCTTCTTCGGTGCACCGGCGACCACGACCACTGCCGGCTCTCACACCGAGAACCCGTACTCGTCGGCTTCAGGGTTCGATGGGTACAAGCATCTTCAGCTCAATGGGAAAGGGAAGAACTGAGTCCCTTCTTCTTGCTGGTAATTAATTAACCTTGGTTTAATTAATAGTAATTTAGTTGTTGTCTTATAAGCTTTTTGGCTTTATGTGTTTAATTGCTTCCTGCTTTTCTTTATAGAGACGCACACCCTAGGACTCGATCGTTGCTTGTATTTTTTTCTCGAGCTTGCATTGCATGTCAATTGTTTTTTTGGGGGGCAGTGAGAGAGAATCTATAGGCTGTGCCTTTTGAACCTTCAACAATTATCATGCACATATTTTATCTTTCCACTTAGTTTGGGAGCAACAGGTGTCTCTCTGCTATTAAGCTGATCAATGGAGAGATAATTAACTGTTAGCGAATAGCATTTTGACATGAGGTTTCAAACTGGTATCTTTTGGGTTGTGTAGTGTAGATATTCTACACGAATCCACTTCATTGTTCACTGAATGCTGCTATCGAAATTTGACTATTCTTGTTTAGGGAGAAATGAGTTCTACTGAGATGACAAATACTGAATTGGATTCTTTTTGAAACTTTGAACGAATTTATATTCCATTTAAGTGAGGATGTGAGGGACATCTTGCATCTTTGTCATTCCAAGTGTGCTGTTGATTACTTGTAGTTCAAATATAAGAAAAAGGTCACTGAATATGATGATAGGGTTTCGGTCGAAGAATGGAGCAGGAAAAAAAGGTTTATTTAGAAGAAAGATATTGTACTATAACTTCTTGATGGTATAAACAAGCTAAAATTCATATATATATAAGATCAAACTTAGGAGTTTCCTAGACCATTCAACTTTCTTCAACATCTTAGCTTTTACCATGGCTGGCAGCAACCTGATATTGGTGTAAAATAAGTCTCTTTTATATTATGTTGACGTGTCATCCTTAGCCCAAAGACATCCTCATAACTGTATAAAGATTTGAATGTAATCTAATTATAGCTGCGAAAGCCTATGTTTAGGATTTAGGAGAGTTTATTCTCTTAGCGCATGCATGTTGCATAGGAACGTACGTTTTACTAGGCATCACCTAGTTTACAAGGCATCTTTAGTCCTTGTGGTTTAGATTTTGCCTAGAGTATCGCTGAAATATTTATACTTGTTACTAAAAATTATAAAGACAATATACTAAGGGCCCAAGGGATAATAGCTTTTGGTAATATATTCTTTCAAATTTTCAATATTACTAACTGCTTTGAAGAAGCATTGCATGTACGAGAAGGGATACATTACATAGGTTTGTCCTTGTATGTTATCGTGAGGTGATGTTATAGTAAGGTGTAATCTTCTTTTCTTTAAGTAATAAATTTCACAATGTTTTTCAGTTATATCTAAGCATATTCCCAAGTTTCAATGTTAGAAGTGCATGATTGATGAACACTACATGTAAAAACCACTACCGTCATTGGAATTTCTCATAAATGTAAGTATCCACATTCATCTCTAAGCGCCATATTAAGAGAGCCAAATGGAATGATTGGGAAACAAATTTTAGTGATGAATGTCTGACTTAAAATTCTTATTAACATATGGTTGAAGTTTGAAAGCTAAAGTGTGTATAATCTTGACTGACTACCATTAGATAATGATATGAAAGAGTGGGTGTATTATAAATTAAATAGGGTAAAAATGTTATGTCTCCTTTAAAGGATCCAACCTAAAGCCTATCTCTTTGCTTGTATATCTCCAGGCATATTCTAAAGTTGCAATGTTAGAAGTGCAATACATGTAAAAACCGCTATCGTTATTGGAATTTCTCATAAATGTAAGGATCCACATTCATCTCTAAACGCCATATGATTAAGATTGCCAAATGGAATGATTTTGAAACAAATTTTGCTGAGTGGCTGACTTACAAACCTTATTAACGCGTGCTTGGAGTTTGAAGGCTAATGCGTGTATAATCTTGAATGGCTACCATTAGATAATGATATGAGGTGAGGGGGTATTACCAATGATATAGGGCAAACATGTTATATCTCCTTCGAAGGACCCAACCTAAGGGTGATCTCTTTACTTGTTCATTCAAATGCCTTTTATACCACAAGAAAGTTTTATAATTGATAGGGTAAACTACTGCTTAAAATAAAGTGTTGCGTTCAATTAGTATGAGGTTTGGCTCGCAATCATTGTTTAAGTAGCAATCACTGTTAAAATAGGAGGTGGATTATGGAAGGTCTCATGTTCAAGAAAGCATTGCATTAAATTGGTATGAGATTTGGCTTGCAATTAGTATAAGGTTTGGCTCATATGATATTTATTGATATGGAAAAAAACCTTATGATAAAGAGTCGAGAGAGATAAGTAGTGGAGTTTACAAAAGGAACAAGTATCTATCGATGTGTATGTGAGCAAGTGCTTGTGCGTGTGCGAAATAGAATACCAACCTGGATAAAAGCAAATTAAGGAGAGATAAACCGGTCTCTATTATCATATGTTTATTCAAAGATCAACTTTAAAGTTTAAACTTTCTTCTTGTGTTAGTTAATAACTAACTCATTAGACATACTCAAGATGATGTTACAATTTTTTAATTGAGTTACGTTTTGTATATTATTTTCTGATTATACAATATTAGTTGATGAGAGTATGAGGAAATAATTTCTAATGTAGAAAGATGGAAGGATGCTCTCGAAACTAAAGGATTTGAGTTAGTAGAACAAACTAACAGAATACATGGGATATCCTTTTAGTAAAACTATGAATAAGAATGAGCTATAGTACATATGAGGCTCAAGAAATATCTAAGGGTAATCACTTTCGCTTTTTGGATCAGTCACTTGTCAAGAAGGTGAGTTTGAGGGTGATGTTATTAATCACATTAAATCAACATGATTAAAATGGAAAACATATTTAGGTCATGAAATATATAAGAGTAATCACTTTCGTTATTTACATTTAGGACCAACCATTGGTCAAAAGATAGTGTGTTTGAAGGTGATGTTAATTGAATCAAGTTGACTTTGTTGAAATGGAGGAGTGTTTTTGCAATCCTATATGACCGTCAAATACCTATGAAACTGAACAAAAATTTATAGGATAACTATAAAACATTTTATGGATTAAAATATTGGGTAACTAAGAAACAACATGTGCGAAAATGATTGTAGTAGAAATGAGAATGTTAGATAAACTTGTAGATATACACTAAAAGATATGATATGAAATGAGTACTTTGGTAAGATGATAAATATTACTTTTTTTAGAAACAAAATGAGAGAGAATCAAATGAGATTATTTGGCCATATGCAACGGAGGTAAAAAGTGCACCAATGAGGAGAAGTGATAAGAAGACAATAGGGAGGACTCGAGATATAGGCCTACAAGAACTTGACTAAAAGCAACTAATGGCTTATGATAGTGATTAACATCATGGAGGAAATAACCTTAAACAGAACTGAATGGGAGTATTCATGTAGCCAGCCCCAACTTTGGGATAAAGGTTTTGTTGTTCTTATCATTGTTAAAAATGATTTTTAAATTGATACTAAAAGTGGTTCTACCTCTTTAAGCTAATTATTTGAGTTTAGGTGTCTTTTGTCCATGCAAGTGATAATATAGTCCTGCAACATGGATTAACCCATGCAGAATAGAGAGAAAGATGGTTAAGTAGTTACTTATGTGTGTGTGGGGTCATGCGCAATGTGTATGTGTGGGTTGCGTGTGTGTCTGATAGAACATACTCATAGTCAGTTTTTGTATTTCCAACTTGGCTGTAACCTGAAAGTAATTATTTTGGGTGTTTAGACCTTGAGAGTTTGCTTTATGATTCTCAGTCCATTTGTTGTGCAAAGTCATAATTTATTGTATAAATATAGTTACACCTGCAAAATATATCAATTTTTAAGGTTTCACATGATCTGCTCTGATGCATAACTGTAAATGCTCTTATAAATTTGTTTTACTAGGTTGATGCGATGTATTATATTATATCGTTCACTATGCTGGTAGCACAGATTTGGCTTGGCATGACAACAATCAAGGAAATACTCACATTATACTGGAATTTTCTAAACCGTTGTCTTGACTAGATATTATATTTACCTCCCTTATGTATGATGCAATTTCAAATTCTAGAATGGAATCTTTTTTATAAACAAGAATGTGTGGACATCATCTTGAGTTGTGTTTTTTTGATTGTTCGTTTTATGCAAAGGTGATTTAGTAGTTATGTTCGACGACCACTGTAGTTTGGATTTTTCTCGGAGAAAGGTATTTTGAGGTATTCTCTTGATGTCTGAGTTGACCTGAACTCAAGGAAAGGAAACCCACTTCAAACATTGTCCCATGAACTTCACCGGCCAGTTGTTTTATTTATTATGATGGACTTGTTAGACGTTAGAATTTAAGACACTAGTATATAGATTGCATGATAAAAAAGAAGTCTAAGACAGTATGGTGTATCTTATGCAGACACATTCAACTTCATATGTAAAAATAATGTTGGTCACAATGCTAAATTGAAATGGATGAAGCTTGTATATTACCATTGAGAATATCCTAAACCTCTAGATTTTTTTATCATGCCATACTGCAATCTGACAGATCCAAGTAGGAATTTCATTTCTAAACATTTAGACTACAAGAATGGCTGCGGAAGGAGACTGCTTTTTATGATGCATCTGTTGTGCGCAACAGTCAAATTGTTGTGCTTCGAGGAACCAAACCAAAACGTCGAGATAGAAAGCTAAACAATCCAAGATAACGACACAAACTCAAACACAAAAGTTTAACGTGGTTCGGTAAATTGCCTACGTCCACGGGGCAAGAAGGGGATGAGTTTTGCACTATAGAGAAAAAAAGTATAAAGTAGAGATTACAAGATCACTCAACTAACTTCTCAAACAGATCTCTCAAATCTCACAAACTAAATCCTTAAACAAATTGCTCAGAAAAACTCTCTTTTCTGTGCTCAAAATCTCCTTCAAGCTACCCCAAAAGTGATCAATATGATCCAATAAACCCTAACCAAATCATGTTCCTATTTATATAAACATGAAACCCAAACAGAACAGGAAACTAAGCCCAGGCCC